ACAGCTTTGGAGAGCCTGCGGGTACCTGGCCATGGCCAGGAGGAGAGGCCAGCGGAACACCTCCCATCCCTCGGGCTCTGAGACTGAAGTGAGCACTTTTCCTTCTCTGTACCTTGGTTTCCTCGTCTGTAACATTGAATAAATTATATCCCTCACCTCCAGAACTGTTTTTTTTTTTCTTTTCATTTCTACTTATTTTCATTTTATTTGAAAGGAAAAGAGACACAGACATGTTTCTGTCAACTGATTCATTCTTCCAAATACCCAAAACAGCCAGAGCTGGGCCAGGCCAAGGCCAGGAACGTGGAACTCCACCTTGGTCTCCTAGGTGGGCAGCAGGGACCCAAGAACTTGGGCCACCACCTGCTGCCTCCCAGGGTGAGCATCAGCAGGGAGTTGGGTGCTCTGCACCCAGACACTGTGAGATGAGCAGCAGGTACCCTTTCTTTGGCAAAGCTCTGGGCCCGGGGCTGTTGGGTGGATTAACCAAGACACATTCAGGAGCTGACAAAATAGCAATGCTCATTAAGTGGGGGCTTCAGATCACTGAGGGACCCTCACAGCCCCCTCCCTGGCCCTTGGGAACACACACCATCACCTTCAAGTGACAGCATTTCAGGATCCTATTCTGAATCCCTGCCGAAGTTCAGCTTGGGTTAGGACATCACCTGGGCCAGGACTCCTCTACAGCTATTCCTTTAGAACAGAGGGGTTCTGCTATGAGGATAGGGGGATCACAGGGCCCGCCAGCTCATCAGTGCCAGCAGGACAATAATGCTGCTCTGAAGATGCACAAGTAAAGCAGAGTCAAGGAGCTGCGAGGCTGGCTTTATGGAGATCTAACATTCTGAACGAAGGACGTGATAGTGCCCTTCGGCTTGGTGCTGGCCCCAGCATATGCATGGACTGCACTACCAGGAGAAGCCGGCTGGAGCTGGGGGCTGGGGCAAGGCAAGGATGCCTGGCAGAGGCTGCATGGGCACACAGGAGGATCTGAAGGTGGGGGACAGTATGGATGGCTGGGCAAAAAGGCAGCCCAATGGCCACAAGGGTAGGCTCTCCAATCACCCTGCCTGTCTAGTCATCCAGATTTGAATCTCTCAACTCTTCTCTTTGGCTCTCTCACTCTTCTTTTGTCCCTTGCATCCATCTTTCGCAGCTCTCTGTCTTCCCTGTTCCCTTCCACCTCTATTTCTTTCTATCTGGACAATGCATCTGGCACTGGGGGCTGGGCAGGTCCCAGGCTGCAGGGCGCTGATGGTGAAGAGACAGCCGGAAAGGGGGGTGAATGAAGAAGGGGAGGGAGAAGAGGTCTCCTTAGCAACTGTCTCTTACACATGTGTGCATGTACATTTGTACACACACTACACATTCTGAACCTTCAAGAGCCTGGCTCAAGTGTGTGGATGCTACTTCTGATGGGAACCCCATCCTGAGTGTAGCCGCCAGCTCTGCCAAAGGAGGGGTAGTCATTCACTGCCTCCCCTGTGCCCATGAGGCTGGCAGCTGCACCCGGTGGTGGCACGCAGCAAGGAGCCAGCCGTATCTCTGTGGCACCAAGAGAATGAGCTTTGATTGTTCCTGTGCCAGACTCCCCACTCCCCAGGGCCATGGCAGGCTCCAGAGCAGCAGCACGTGTGCTCCCATCTGCAACACACGTGTGGCCCTAATGCACAGGCCTGCATGCTGGCTGGGGGTTAGAGGCCTGCAGGTTGCTGACCACAGCTCCCATGTGTCACAACGCGGATGGGCATGGGAGCACTAGCAGTATGTCCCCATGGCTGTGGCAGGCACACAGAAAGCCAAGGCTGAGTTCCCGAGTGGGTGATGGGAAGCCTGGTGGCACTGCGACAGCAATGCAAATGCCACCATCCACAGCCCTCCCACATATTCACATACATATGCCCGAGCTGCAGGGTCCTGAAGGGCCCGGGCAGGCACCAGAGAAAATGTGCCATCCGGAGTGTACCGCCCGCGGGGCCTGTTCCACTAAGGGCAGCAGGCACAGGAGACAGAATCTGGGGGAAACGGGCCAGAAGACAAGGACCCTACTAAAGATCTAGGTAGAAGGCGACTGGACTAGTTACTGATGCACACCAGGCCTGTGTGCAATAGAGAAGGGTCGTGCTGGGGACCCTGGTTGCAGGGGCCAAGGGAAGAACAAGCCACGGGACAGGAGACCTGGGCTGAGGGCTGTGCAGCACAGCCTGAAGTTAGGAGACCCGAGCTCCAGGTTGGGCAAGCTTGCAAAACTCCTCCCTCACGCGGCCTCCACTTCCTCTGGAGAAAGATGGGGCAAAATGTTCACTCACTGATGCCAAGGACAGGAACAGAAGTTATTCCCACCTTAATGCCAGGCCCTGCGCTAAGCACTTGGCACTTCACACTGTTGATAGCTCCCAGCCACAGCCTCTGCCGACGGCATTGTCATGCCCACCCTGCAGAGACAACGTGACTGGCTCCCCAGGACCGTATACCTGGGGCTCAAATCCAGGTCCACAGGACTGCAGCAGTCCTGCCCTGGGACTTCAGACCCCCTCTTGGGATCCCACAGCAGCCCATGTCAGAGGCCGGCAGCAAGTTCTGACTCCCACAGTAGTGCTCATAGTGGGAGCTCTGCCCTCTCTCCTCCTTGGCTGCTGGGGATGTGGGCCTGACTGTGTCCCTTGGTAACCAGCAAGCAGCTGGCAAGAAGAAAAGGTGCCAGGATCTAGTGTGAGGCCCAAAACTCTGCTCCCCAATGGGTTTGGGGCTTTCCCCAGCTACTGGGGAATGGGTCAACAGAGCCTAAGCTCATCCAGGCTGAATCCTGCCAAGCTCTCTCCCTCCAGCTACTAGATCTGCTGCTGTCTGGCTCACCCAAGGTTGTGTGGGGCCTGGTACCAGCTCCAGACCAGGTCCCCTGGCTGAGGAGCCACAGGCAGCAAAAGAGGGTAGAGGTAGGGAGTGGGGGGCAGGAGCCTGGCTGGCTGCTGCAGAGAGAAGCCAGAGTACGTTGAGCTCCTCACAGCGATTCTGGAGACCCTCCACCCATCTCAGGCCTTCCAGCTCCCAGGGGGGCCAGGCTACAGGCTGAAGCACTAGTGGAGCTCCCATGCTGGTTGCTGAGGTCTGATCTAGGTGAACTCTGCATTGAGTGTGCAATTAGAGATCTGAACTAGATCTCTTGGGCACCCCAGAAACAGGTACTAGCCCCCCAGCCCCAGCTCGTCTCTCTTAGCTTGGGGCTAAGTTGGGAGAATAGAAAGAGCCATGTGTGGCCCCTCCATCCTCCAATGCAGAGGGGTCCAGGAGGAAGAAAAGTGGAGCTGGAGCTTGGAGGTCAGGCCACCGGGGGTAGAGGCAACTCAGCATGCCAGGAGAGGCCAGCACATGGGCAGAGCAAGCCTGGAGTGGCAGGGGAGCTGGAGCGTCATGCTGCCTGGAAGGCCCAACCCACAGGGCTGAGAGCAAGCCCAGAATGGCAGGAGTGTCCAAGAAATGGGCAAACCTAGGTAGATGCCACCTCAGTGAGCACTTCTTTGGAGCCTCCTTCCCAAGTAATCAGCAACACTGGCCTTGAGTGGCCTCACCCAAGGTGGCCCCTGCCCTACCAGCTGATCGTTAGCCACCTGAAAGGCAGAAGGTTCCAGTTTGCGGAGGTCATCAGGGTACAAAGAGTAGGGCCAGGAGGAATGGCTAAGGCCACTGCTGGTCACCCCCTCCTGGCAGCCAGGCCAGACATTTACCCAGGAACAGGTGCCCATAAGCAGCGCCGGAGCCCCCATGGCACTGCACCCACCCCACCCCATCCCACCCCACCCATCCCGCTCATCCACAAGCTGACGAGTCCTAACAGGCCTCCTTTGCCGGTGACAAAAATAACTATTTTCAAAATTCACAGCAGGGCTTTCGCCTACACACACTGCGCCGACTGGAACCTGAAGGGGGATATGTGGAACGCAGTGTGCGGATGGAGGCTCGCTACGCAGCCAGCAGCCTGTGCAGCCCCCACGCCCCCCTGCCCACCCCGCGCTCACACACACGGGGCGTCCGGAACAGCTGGTGGGGGAAGGGCTCTGAGATCATCCCCAGCAACATGGGACAGTGGGTGGGGGAGGCTCAGAGAAAGCCAAGGGATTTGCTCAGGGCCACACTGTGGACTCCCATGTCCTTTGCCACCTTGCGGGTGGCCCACCTCCCCGCCTGTTCACTTACCCTTGCACAGGCAGGTGCATGTATACATATGCGCACGTACACACACATACACACATACTCACAGCTAGCACGTGTCCCTTGCATCCGAGTTGGGACACTTTAATTGAGCTCACCGGCTCCTGTGCTACCTTCACCTGGGCCAGCCTTTTATAGCCAGCATTACCATCTGCAGGTGCAAGGATCAAGGCCCAAAGCTTCAGATCACGGGAGAACCCAGGTGTCCCAACTATCGGTTCAGAAGCTCTTTTCACAAACTGACACCTCGATACTGTCTCAGCCAAGGCTTCTGGGGTCAGTAAGAAGAGTGACCTCAGGACTGGCCTGGCCCCTCAGGAAGATCCCAGCAGGTCAGCCCCCAACCCAGGCCCTGTACCTCCACCCTCAACACCCAGGGATACCTTTGGAGAACAGCCAGACTGCCTGCCTCTCTGGAGGTCTGGAGCGTGGCTCCGCCCCCAAGCAGCACCAGGAAGCTCCCAAGGGTCAGGCATTAAAGGAGCCGTTAAGTAGTGAGGTTGGCCAGAGACCCTATCATGGCTCCAGGTGTATCCCCACCAAGTCACAAAGTCACAAGGGCTCCTTTCCCAAATGAAGCCATTGAGGAAGTCAAAAGCTCGTGTGAGTCACCAGAGGTCACAGAGCTGGTCATGCAGAGCCAGGGCTGGGACCCCGGGCCTAGTCTGTGTTACCCCCACCCATACCCTAAACCCTCCATTTCTCTGCTGCTGTAGACTGATCCCAGACCTCTTCCCAAGAAAAAGCAGGACCGGGCAATCAGGGGACCAGAGAGCCCACTGGTCCTGTCAGATCCGATGGGACATCAGTCTAGTGTTGAGTTTCCGGAAAAAAGATCGAAGCTTGCAAATCTTGCATTTTTTCTTACGGCGACCCCGGGAGAAGCTTCGAGCCCTGCCCTCTTCTTCCTCTTCCTCTTCCTCATCCCCAGCCCAGGGTCCCCAAGCACCCCCATTAAAGTCAGGATGGGCCCGGGGATTCTCAGCTGGGTAGCGCACAGGGATCGCTGTGCGGTTATAGTGGGCCAGGCGGGCTAGCAGTGTGCGGACCACATCCGGCCGCTGCTCAGACAAGTCCTCCCGTTCGTAGGGGTCAGCACTGATATTGAAGAGCCACACGGCCTGGCGGACGCTGGCCATCCGCTCCAGATTCCACCAGCTGCCGGGGAAGGAGGCCAGCGTTTGCGGTGGGATCCAGTCACCATAGCCGGGGTCTCCGGTCAGCAGCTTCCACTCGCCCACGCGGATGGCAGCCTGCACGGCTGTGTTCCAGATGCCAAAGCCCCCCTCCAGGGAGCCATACCGGGCGTGGTTGTAGAGAGGGTCAATGTTGTGCAGGATCTCGGTGCGTGGCGAGGCCCGGCCCTCACTGATGGCCGGCCACACGTCGTACCCATCCAGCCCATCAGCCACTGAGGCGCTACCACCTGCCAGGCCCACCAGGGTTGGGTACCAGTCAGTGATGTGCACCAGGGCTCGGCTTGTGCGCCGCTTCCGCTTGAGCAAGGGGCTGTGCACAAAGCCCAGGCCCCGCACTCCACCTTCCCAGTATGTGCCCTTGCGTCCCCGGAGTGGCCAGTTGCTGCCCCCCGAGAAGGTCTGGCCACCATTGTCGCTGGAGAAGATAATGACACTATTGTTATAGAAGCCGTAGCGCTTGAGGGCCCAGGTGATGTTACTGACGGCCTCATCCATGCAGGTCACCATGGCCGCATACTTCCTCCGGGCCACATTGCCCATGGTGCGGTAGCGGTACAGATACTCACGAGGGGACTGCAAGGGTGTGTGCACTGCCTGGAAGGCCACATAGAGGAAGAGGGGACGCTGGGGACTGTGGCTGGCCAGGATGTGGCTGGCACGCTGGGCATAGAGCATGGTGGAGTATTGGCCACTGAGTCCCCAGGCCACATTCTCACCTTCGTGCAGATCAAAGCCGCATACACCTGGGCCATCACAGTTGTCGTAAGTGTAGTAGTCCACATTGCCAGTCAGTGAGCCCAGGAAGGTATCAAAGCCACGGCGGGTGGGCAAGCACTCCTTCCGATAGAAGCCCAAGTGCCACTTACCCACCATATGGGTGGAGTAACCTGCCTCCTGCAGCTTCTGCGGCAGGGTTACCTGGTCCAGGGGTAGGCAGTTGGGCTGCCGTGGGCGGATGATGGAGTGCTGGAGTCCTGTGTGAATCTGGTACCTGGGTGGGCACAGGGAGGCACAGGTGAGCTGTAGGCCACTGCTCCCACCAACCAACCCCCAATGCCGCCCAGAAGTGGGTGGGGTGCCTCCAATCCCAGCACCAATGGCAAAAACAGCAACAGTAACCACTGGGTGTTTTCTGTGGTGCTACACACTGGAAATGCATGACCTCAATAACTCCTCAATCTCTGTGGAGGCAGATAGTGTTGTCACCTGAAGCCACTCACCAAGGTCCACGGAGCCGGGAGGCTGGGAAGTGAACAACTGAACCCAGTGGATAATGACACGATCACATTCCACATCATGCCCTCTCTGTGTGCTCCATGCCCACCAAACCTCCCGTGTCCAGCGTCTCCCGACTCCTCACTGCTGGCCAGCAGGTGTGCACCATCACTCCTACCTCCCTGCATGGAGGCTCCAGAGGGACACCACTCACCCAGGGCTTCCCACCCCAAGGAATTGGGTGGGATTTGTGTTGAGGTCTGACTCTAGTCTTCCAAGTCCCTAGGATCCAAGGCACCATTTCTATATGCCCTAGGGTAAGTCCTGCTCTTGCAAGCAAGTCCTACTCACTTTTCAAAGCCTGGCTCCAAAGTCTCCCTCCCAAAATGTACCGCTTCTGCCTCAGGCGCCCTTCAGCACCCAGGACAGGCTGATGTTATGCCGTGTGGCCATGACTCTGTAATCAGTTACACAGGCTAGGGGGCCCGGTGACAACTGTCTGGTATCCCTAGCACCCAAGCAATGTCTAAAGGTCTCTTAATGACTTCTGGGATAGAAGGATGATGACACTCAGGGCTTCAGAGCCACCAGGGGCTCAGTTCACTGTGCACTTTGTGTATTGTGTCTGGAGAAGCTGAAGTTCAGAAGAGGGGAAGGACATGGCCCAGGGGCCCTCAGCAGGCAGGGCAGAGCCAGGACTTGATGAGGAATGCAGGCAGAGTCCAAGCAGTGCCTCCTCAGCAAACTCAGCAGCCCTGGCTCTCCGCTTGCAGGGGTCTCACGTGGCTAGTGTGTTGAATGAGCTGATTGGAGCAGGAGCATCTCTAAGACCTGCCCAATTCCCCAATTTTTACAAAATTATTATTTATCTATTTGAAAGACAGTTATAGGGAGAAAGGGAGATCTTCTGTCCACTGGTTCATTCCGCAAATGGCTGCAACAGACAGGACTGGGCTAGGCAGAAGCCAGGAACCTGGAGCTTCATTCAAGTCTCCCATAAGGGTGCAAGAACCCAAGCACTTGGGCCATCTTCTGCTGTTGTCCCAGGCACATTAGAAGGAAACAGGATTGGAAATGAAGTGCCAAGTACTCCAACCAGTGCCCACAGGAGATACTAGTACTGCAGGAGGGCAGCTTAACATGCTCTGCCACAGCTCCCAGACTGTATGCTACTGGCACCCATGGGTCTACCTATGAGCTCACAGGCCCTCACCCAGGTGATGCCCTAAGGCAATTGTAACAGGTGGACAGAGTCCTAAATTCGTCATTCTGTGGCTGGTATCCCAACCTCCTCCTCTGTGGCTGAGGCCTCTGTGTGAGCTGCTTATGGTGCCTTGCCTCACGTCTCAAAAATCCTAGAGAGAGTCCTGGGACATCACAAGTGTTAGACTCACACCCTTTTCAGTCGAACCATGTGTTCGACTGAAACTAGGACCTGAATCCTTGACACCTTCACCCTGGCACTGGCCTAGAGTCTTCTGTTTTGCTTCCCCTGTCTTAAAGCTGTGATTGTCAGCTCTAATTAGTTACTACTGCTATTTTTAACACTACAATGTGCCACACACGGCTATCTCATTTAATTCTCACTTAAAAAAAAAACAGGTACAGGGAAGATTATTACTATCCCAACCCTACAGATCATGAAACTGAGGCTCTCCCAAAAGTACAACAAAGGGCAGACCGCTAGCAAGCTGTGGAGATGAGCTGTGAGCCCCAGTCTACTCAATCCATGCTCAGAATCTCAGGGGATGGGGCAGTGGTGTCGCACAGCACGTTAAACCACTGACTGTAGCACAAGCATCCCATCTGGGCACCCATTCAAGTCCTGGCAGCTCCACTTTCAACCCAGATCCCTGCTATGGCCTGGGAAAGCAGAAAAGGATGCCCAAAGCCTAGGGATCCTGTATCTGTATGGGAGACCCGCAGTTTCTGGTTCCTGGATTTGGACCAACTCAGTTCTAGCCTTTGTGGCCTTTGGGGGAATGAAACGACACATAAAGGATCTCTCTTCTCTCTAACTCAGTTTGAAAAACTCGAGTGCAATGATTTCTCCAGGCCTCTGCCAAGCTAATGCTTGGACTAGCACCTCAGGCTCTTGTCATGGTGGTAGTGGTAAGGGGTACTGGGGTGCACTGGTTTGTAAAGTTAGCAGCCCAGTTCAGAGTCCAGTCTGCACATGAGTACCAAGACACTTCAGATCTCTTGGGCTCCCCAAATACACCTGGAGGAGATGTGAACAATTGCTGAGAGCTGAGCACAGCCAGATGGAGCCAGCTGCTCGGGGAGCAGGCAGAGGCGGAGGGCAGAGGGCAGAGGGCAGAGGCAGGCTGATCATACTCAGCTTCCCAAATCAGAGCTTGGAGCCCTGCGCTGGCCACTCTTGCAGCTTCCTAAGCCCAAAGTTGTCTCTCAGAAGAGAAATACCAACTTGCACGCAACTCCTGGAAAGGCAGATTCCACCCCTGAAAGGCTTGTCAACATTTGGTCTTGACCATCAGTGTCACCCCTCACCTGGAACAGGTGCACACTCTGCATCTCCCTCTGTCTCCTGTTCTTGATCATCGGTTCCCAGATTTGAACACAGGGCCAGATGGAGGGAGGCTAGGGCACCATTTGATTACAAGCTCCAGGATCCTTGCCAAGCCTCTGGCCTCTCAGCCAGTCCTGGGGACCCTGAAGTTGGACACAGCCCCTGAGCTGGGTCCTCCCTGCCTCAATGTCTCCCTCCCAGGAAGTTGTGAGAGTGGTTCCTGAGATCCTGCGAGAGGCTATTGGGTGAAACTAGGAAGAAAGCAGGCCCTGGGTCCTATCCAAGGAGGATTAGCTCAGCCCTGGCGGAAGATTTGCCCCTAAGTGGCCCAAGGCTGTCTTCCACAGCCCCATCTCCTGCTTCCAAGCTCCTTCTGTCCTGTGATCTGGCTAGACGCCTGGCCTGTGGATAACTCCCTATGAAGGGTGGAGGGTGCAGCACGTCCCCGTGGGGCTCCCAGCCAGAGGGGAGGACTCGGCTCAGCAAGGAAACAGGCTTGGGCAAGTGGAGTACCACCCAAGGCTACACAGGGCATGACATCTCGCGTGTGTTTTTCTCGTCCACCTCCCGGTTCCTTGGGTTTCTGCCAGTACAGCCTGCAACTAGTACGGGGTCCTGGATTCCCTCACCACCAACCAGCCAACAACACAGAAGCTGCCACTTACTGATAGCCCAGCAGGCCAAGTCCATTCTCACCGCTCCTTTTCAAGATCAAATTTTTTCAAAAATTGGGCTCTCGCAGAAATTAAATCACGGGTTCAGAGTTGCAAAGTCAGAAAGGACTTCTAGAAGCAGCATCCACAGTGAGTATCAGAGACTGCCTCGTTCCCCCAAATAAAGGGCTGTCAGATTGTCCCCTCTTGGCCCAAACTTCCTGGGATATGCCAGAGAGACTTACAAGACACACAACCCCTTCTGAGTAAGGGTGGGGCACAGAAGCCCAGAGAGGGCCAGACACTTAGGGATGGTGGCACAGCTGATCAGACCCCTTAGTTCCCGGACCCCAGGTTGATTTGGATAGTAGGTAGAGGACATCTACCAGCTGGGTTCATGGGGTGGAAAGGGGGAGGCTCGCCTACCTGCCGGTGAGGAGCTGGCTCCGGGAAGGTGTGCAGATGGGTTGAATATAGTAATTCTCCAGTTTGACACCCTCGGCTGCCAGGCGGTCAAGCGTCGGGGTCTGGATATCCGAGCCATGGTAGCCCACATCGTGGTAGCCCTGGTCGTCGGTGAGGATGAAGATGATATGAGGAGGCTGGGGCGGAGGGGCTGAGGAAGGCTCTGCGACGACCTCGGCGGGTCCATCGGCCACGAGGCTTGGCCTGGCCCAGTCCCATGATAGGTAGCCGAAGCTGAGCAGGCTGACTAGAGAGAGACCGGTGAGGGCGTGCATGGCCAAGGCGGCAGAGCGTGCCAGAGCGCACGGCTCTCAGGACTTCAAGCGCCTCGCGCGCCCAGGGCGCACGGCCCGCACGCCGGCCTGGCTGCGGCGATTGCGCACAGCGGCCCCCCGAGGGGAAGCCAGGGGAATACTCCGGGGTCCCGCTGCCGTTGGTCGCACCTGCGGGGCCGTAACGGGGCGGTTTAGGGAGGGGAGGCCGGCCGCCAATTGCCTCTCGCTGCTGCCGCCAGAACGGCCGCCCTGTGCCTGCCTCACCCGCTCTGTCCCAGCTCAGCCGGGCCAGCCTGAGACACGGCGTGGTAGCTCCCAAAAAGTGCTCTCCACCATCCTCTTCCTTTTTGCCCTAAGTTTTCGCCCTCCTCCTAATTTCTCTCGCCTCTGCTTTTCTTTTTCTCCTCCCCAAGCCCCCGCCCGCGCGACCCTGCAACCCCCTGGCCCGGCCCCCTACCCCGCCCGAAATCCTTAGAGCCGTCGGGGAGGTGGGCAGCAGCCCAGAGAAGGAGGGAAGGAGGCAAGGGTGGGACTGGCCCGGGGTAGGGGACATCGAGAGAATGCGGGGAAGTTGTAACATCTGCCGGGGCCGAGCCCCAGGTGGGAGGGCGGGACGCCGAGCCGCGGCTCCACCCCCGGGCGCGAATCCCGGCCCTGCTCCGGGCTGCCAGCCCTAGCGCCCGCCCCTGGCCAGGGCTGGGGAAGGGAGTTGGGGGGCGGGGGGAGGAGGGGGCACTGCCTGGAATTCGAAGGAACGGTTCCGGAATGGCCAGCCAGACATTCCTCAATCCTGGAGTCCTAGCGTCTCAGAGTGCCAGCCCCACAAATGCTTCTGGTCCAACGGAGGTCATTCTACAGATGGAAAAACTGAGGTCCCGGGTGGGGTGGGGTGGGAGCACAGCCAACTCTGGAAGCACTTCCGCAAAACCTAGCCAGGCTGGAAGTCAGGGAACTGGGCTTTGGGCGGGCTGGCCTCCCTCCACCCCTCCTTTCACAGTCCCAGATAGAATCTTAGCAGGCCAGAAGTGAAGTCGAGGCGGCCCTGGCTGATGTGTCCACCCAATACCCATAGTGTCCCGCACCGTAGCCGCTAGACTAAATGAACTGAGTGAGTGAATGGATGAATGGACCTCCAGTTCGCAACCGTTTACACATCAGAAGAGGCCAATATGCCCCCTCACCCTGGGCCAGGTAATACCGGGGATAAATTAGAGCAAGCATCCACAAGGGGTTAAGGGGGGATGCTCAGGGCTGCTGCACCATCCCAGAGGCCTGTTGTCACATGAGGATGACCATGGGTGTTTCCCAATCTTCCAGTCTCTCCAGGAAGTCACACAAATTGAGATTATGATGAGAAACCCGAAGGGGCATCCCACCATTCACGGAAGACAGAATGAAAGCGTACATTTATTTGGGGGGCAAAAATCTTGACATCTGCATGTGGTTTTTTGTGATAATATGCATTGTCCATGAACTTGGGTTTTTTCTTTTGTTTTGTTTTTGTTTGTTTGTTTGATAATGTGCATTGCCCATGAACTCTGTGAAGACCTGGTATGTCTCAGTCGATAAGTGCTAGCTAGTAGCTGATGCAAAGGCAGATTTAATCACCATTAGCCCAAGTCCAAGCTATCTGACATATATGCTTGTCTGAGGCCGTTGGGTGCCCATGTATAAGCTCAAGGATGTAGCACTGCTTTTTGGGTTTTTACCAGGCTACAGTCTTCAGCGGAGAGCTGGGCTCCCCAAGCCAGCGAGGCTACTGACCAAGCAGCCCTGCTGTGACCAGCAGGGAGGTGGGTAAAGCTGTCTTTCCTGGAGCATCAGGAAAGGTCAGGGTCTTGTGGACCTTGCGAAGCCAACACCGCCCAGGTACTGCTCTCCTTGTACCCTTCCCCTGCCAAGACGCTGCGGAGACTTTTGCCTTTTGCTTGAAACCACTGTGTGTGTTGGGGGAGGGGGGCAGGGGAAAGAAACCACACCTCCAAAATAGTAGCTGTGTGAATCTGCCTTTTCGAAGCGAGGGCTGCGTAGGGCCGGCCACTCCTGTTTGCTCAAAGCCCCATATGTAGGGTGACCGGATTTATCAGAAGGGAAAACGGAGCCTGTTGTTCTGGGAGAAGAAATCTTGAGGACAGATGGGGAAAATATAGCCTCCTGGGGGAAAGGCTGCTAAAACAGGGCTTCCGGAGGCTTCGGCCAAGGCCATCCTGGAGAGGGGGTCAACGTGGGACAAGTCCCAGGAGGTTGGATGGACTTGGGCTTTGCAAAGGGTTTGTTGGTGACCTGGGTCAAGAGGAACTAGTCAGAGCTGCCCTCCCCTTGCTCTGTGTACACAGAGAAATGGGGCCAGGGGAGTGGGTGGGGACTCGGCCAGGGAGACACAAGCCCTGGCCACAGGGGTTGTCATGGGGACAAGGCAGGCAGCCTTTCAGAGGTCAAGACCATGGGCATGGGCTCAAGTTCAAGTCCTGCTACTTCTGTGGACCTGGCCTTGCACAGGTTACATGACCACCCTCAGCCTCAATTTCTTCTCCTGTCAAATGAGATAATAGAATAAATGACATGTGGGGGTTCAGCCCAGTACCCAGGACGTAGTCAGCACTCAACAGGTATGAATTTTGGCACAGTGATGGTTCTCAATGCTGCTGGGTTTTAGGAGTTGTTTTGGGTTGGTTTTGCAACCTGCTTATATTTAAAGTAATGTTAGGTTTGCAGTGACCATGTCTCCTGGAATTGTTGTGCTGCAAGCTTACTCGCCAGTGCCACAGCCCTGGTCTATTGCTCTCTTGCGTGCAATTGAGGGAAGAACAGAGGCCTGTGGATGAGAGCACTGCTGGGAGACAGTGTGCACGTCAACCCAATGGAAGTCTGGCAGCTTCTTAGTAAGAGGATGTCAGTGAGGGGTGAACCACCAGGAAGGAGGGGAGAGGGTGGGACCCCCAGGCCAACAGCAGTTCCCTAGGAATCACATGTCCTTGAAGAATCTTGGTGATCACCCAAACCCACAGTGGCCTCAGAGCTGTCATTTCTCTGTAAGACATTCTAGGGACAGCCACACTGACTCTGGGCCCTTCCTTCCCCACCCGTTACACAGCTGGGCCAGGCTGGGACTGCTTACCCAGTAAAGTCAGGAGACCCTGGGAGGCCCCACAGGGGCTGAGTGCAAAGTATAACGCAAATGCAGGGCACAGCTCTCAGGATTCACGGGCTCGCTCCTCTGCCCTCGGCATTCCCTGTCTTCCTCCCTGAGTCAAGTCTCAACCTTAGCCAGGTAAGCTCATCAAATTCAAAGCTATTTCAAGTTCAGGTTCAAAAAACAAGGCTCAGAGCCCAGTGTGGTAGCCTAGTGGCCATAGAAAGCTCTCCAGGCTGTCTCCGGGTCCACTGATTCTTACTTCACTCAAAATTCTTGTGAGGTGAATCTATTTCCCACCCTGAGGATATTAGGAGCTGCTCAATGGGAAAGCATAAGGAGGTGGCTGGGGGCCATTGCCTGCTTTATAATAATGTAGCTTCCCATTAGGGAAAAATCAAAGAAGTGTAAACGTCAACTTGATGGATTCTAAAACCTGCAGGTTTGGGGACATTGGGTGCCCATTTGCAGATGTTTGGTCTGCATTCACCAAAATCCAGCCCAAGGCATCACCATGCCAAAGCCCAGAAAAAAAGTGACAAGCGATTGCCCTCCAGAGTTTAAATCCTGGTCATGAATCTCTTTGTCACAAGGTCCCTACCCAGGTGAATGGACAGAGTTCAGAATATACGAGATACAGGCCCAGGCAGGCAGAAGTGTCCGCAGTGGGTTTTACGGCAATGAAGATATTGCACCTGCACCACTGGGTTGCTGGAGCTCATTCTCAGGGAGGCAGCCAGTGTGTAGCCACCCTCTGGCTGCAGCCCTGGCCATCCACCTGCCTGCTCCTCCCACAGATGCCAGAAAGATGCTGCCTGCACTCCAAGACCCACAAGCCCCTATAGCTAGAAACAGCGGTGTGCCTCTGCTGTGGGACGCACTGACTCACTTCAGATGTTCTCACCAATAGCCAGGCTGAACCCTCTAATGAGGGCTCTTCTAAGTGAGGAAGAGTCTGCAACAGAAAATTACACAGGGTCCTTTGGTCACCTTGGTTAGTGACCAGTGGTTCTTCCTGACACTCCCGTGCTCTTGACTGCTGTACCAGGAATCATAATTGATGAGTGACTAATGGAAAGGCCAGAGGTGCTTAAGAAAGCTTTCCTAGTTGTATCCTAGAGGGTGTGCTGCAGGGGTCCCTGTTAAAGGTCCTCATTGAAGTCCCTGTAGAGATGCACCTGCCCACGAGGCAGACAGAAGGGCCACCTGAGGCTCAGATCTTGCTGATCAGTACTTAGGGAAAATGGCTCTTGGTAGAAAGGGTTTTTCATCCTTCAAGCTGGGTACCCCCTTCACTATTTCTGGCCGGTGCAGGCGGCACACACATACCTGCTCTGGCCCTCTGGGTGGTCTTGCTGAGTGTCCCTTGTCTTGGTGATTAGGGTCCCTATGTCAGGCATGTGAGCCAATGTGGCAAGAGCCTGGGCACCTATAGCTGCTTGCCGTTAACCCTTCGTGGAGCCCAACCCTGGGCATTTCAATGGTTCCTTTCTCTGGCACTCAATGAAACATTCCTCCAAGTGGATTATTGAAAGCAGAGCTCTGGGTCCACAATGGGCGCTCTGTGCTCACAGCCGCTGCCCAATCTGTTTGCCCAGCCTGCCTGCAGCCTCACCTCTCAGCACGCTCCCCACCCTCCACCCACCCGACCCCCAGCCCCACCTCAAGACCAGCTCAAAGGGAGGCGGTATGAAAGGGCTTGTTCTCCAACTTCTCAGAAGTTCCCGCCATGGCCTCCACCAGCCCTGAGAGGAAGTAACCGAATGGGACCCAGGCCTGCCTCCTGCCCATCCAGCTGGGACACTCTGCTCACTTTGAGGTCTGAGGCTTCTGTCTTCATTGGTCAGCTTAAGTTTCTTTCCTACACACGCACACACACCTTCAAAGTCCCAAAGAACCCAATAGGGCTACTGGGAAGAAATTA